ACACCACAGCTCCCTTGGGAGAGTGACGGGTCACTCTCATGTAACCCCGTTACATCTGGTCGGTCCTATGCCAATCACGTTCCACGTCGCTACTTAGAGGGTGACGAGTTACATCTTCGCTCAATCTATATACACTTGATCTGCCTTTACTGATCTTAGTGCTAGCGAGAGACCGCTCTGAAACGACCAAGTTTAGATACTCACATATACTTAGCCAACAAAAAAATTACAAAATGATGTAAATTTATCGATAACAGTATTTGTCTCATTTTTCCGGGATAGTGATGTTGTATCCGAGCTTTACAGCTCGTTCTTAGTCAGTACATCGTAAGAAGCAATTGCTGATTCTTTATGCTAAAGAGGAGCTGTTGCAATACTGTTTTGATAGATTCATTCGTAATCAAAGTCTACTCAATCAATTTTGTGATTCGCTTCAGTGTTTGCCAAAATCTATGCAGCGCGGTGAGTTGTCGTTACTGTAAATCGCGTGGACAGACAGAGACATGCTGGCCCACAATACCACTTCCCAGACTTCCGATATTGCGTATTTTATTCCAGAGTCAACGATGATCATCGATGGTAAAACGTTTACAACGCTCGACACCATCTATTTATGCATCGTCTTGGCTTCGGATCAGAATTAGGAAACAGATAAGAGAGAAATTTTCCGCATGCTATGAGGGTTGGTTCATTGTGACGTTGTGTAATATTTAGTACACATCTCACTTTCGTTTCGCAAGGTCGTCTCGAATTTGTGCATCAGGTTATACAGTCTTTGTGCTGACCTTTATTTAATATAAGAATGAAGTACAATATACGCAGCCGGTCCTGAGTATAATCACCGTAAGATTGCTGCCTTAAAGACTACCTTGGGATAAGGTCTACAATATCGATCGAATCACCGGGAGCTACAAAAATGTTTATCGACATACACAACCCTCGAAACCCCACTGCATACATAAAGTGAGTTCCGTAGATTTTTTTTTAAAATAATTGTTATTATATAGAATGAAAGAAAGCAATGAGAGTGAGCATGCGATAGGGGCACTATTAGAAATTTAATGCGACGTAGCGCAGCGAAATTTTCAGAATGTGCATTTCCGGCTTTGTAGCGAACTTGCACTGGATACTTTTTTCGACGCTATTCGTTTCAGTTACTGTTGTCTAAAAAGTCGCGTTTCTCAGGCTAATTACAAGTTTATCTCTTTATCGCTGTCACCTAAAAAAGGCTTACATCCTAGCACCACTTGTATCGAAACGAAACACTTCATGGGTGATTTGTTTATATAAACTAAAATTAGCGACAAGAAGACCGACAGCAAGTTTAAAGTAGAAAAACATCTTGAGCACAGTCTATAAATAATATGCTTACATTGAGAGCCCAACGCGCATATAGCCAGCATCAAAACAATCGTAAATAATTTTTGAAGCAAAGCGATTTGGTAATAAGCAAATTTAGTGGATATATCAAGGATAGGACAATATTTACGTCCGATTCTTGAAAACATTTGCTGTCGTATAAATGGAGTTACTTCCTAAGCAGTTTTTTTGTCACCAAATCCGTGACGTGGTGATGGACGTGGTGGTATAAAACTTTCTCAAAAATGAAGTTACTGATAGAAACTACACGTCCGTTTCTCTTCTTCGCGAACAAGGAGCGACTTCTGGAAATTTATTGCGTAGTCATAAAAGCGTTAGTTAATTCTCTCACGTCGCATTAACATAAGATGATACACTTAGTTTTCATACGTACATACGGATTTTGCCAAAACGCCACCAAAACAATGGCGTTACGTGTTTGTTTCCTGATTGCCATTGCGAGTAGATGAGCCAACTGCACGTACAGTCGGATACTCGAGGTGTGCTTCCCAACAGTATTATGTAAAGTATTAAGCACGATCAGCACCGCGTACCAGGATGTTCCATGTGATTTGTTTATAAGGGATTCTTGAAGTAACGGATCAAAAGATACTTTTCCTGGCTTATTCCATAAACTGCCGCGTCCAGCACCGTAATAACCATTCTCACAAGCTTGTTATGTGGAGCACCAATTGTAATATAATCTTACGGTCAGTTACAACTGGCCTCCGAGAGCTCTGCCTCCTGCTGAGATCATTACCATAGAAGAATGTCAAACATAACGTTCGATCTACAAATATTTGCGACTTCATGTATTAACCCCTCGCTGCTGGCTCAAGTCATGAAAGGTTAAATGAGGCGATCACAGCAGAAAATACCGACCAATAATGGTGCCGTTTTGTTTTCTGGTAATTCCACTTCGATCTACGCACGTCGGGCGTTACTCGAATTCGGTAGGATCACAGTGCGTCGTGTGGCCTAGGTTTGGTAGCATTCAAGTACTCACGCCCACCTGCAAACGCCCGTCGATCGCAGACGGGAGTTAAGCATGGAGCCACCGGGCGCAACGGCACAAGGACGCCGTTCGAATTCAATGCCCATAACCGAACTTGAGTCGACTGCACCGAGACTTGACAAAGTATCAGTTGTGAATCATCGAGGTTGCACGTGGCCACTGAAGAAAACACGATCGCAAATGGTAGCAGCGTGGCAGGGGAATGGTGACTTTGCCAGAATTCGGCAGATTCAAGACCCTCCAGTCGGCGGAGTCTCTCGCTCTGTCTTGCAAAGGTTGCTTGCAACACCTGATTTAGCACCGAGTACTCCTCTCCAAAGCCCACGTCGTCGGTGCTCTGCCGCGTCCGCGGCAATGGTCTCTATGGTACACAGTCCGAGAGCATTTGCCACAAGCACTTGCGTAAAGGTCGAAAAGCGAGATCCTACGGCCCAAACGGTACCTTACCAGTGCCTTTCGCCTATGTTTTCAGGATTCGGCTCATACGAAAGTAGCAGCAGTTGCAACAGTCGATGCAGTAGTCCCACTCCACTAAGCTTACTTCCCGATGGTCCAATTCCATCTGACGACGAGGAAGATGTTGAAAACGAAGACCACGTCACAATGCTGCGTCATCAGGTAGCGCTGCTTGTCAAGAGTCTTGAAGATGAAAAGAAACGGCGTGCGTCTGAACAGCAGCTCATGCAAACTGTAAGTGAGCATTGTTTTTCTAATTGGGATACAATAGCGGTACTAACATCTTTTCTTACAGAAAATCATTGAATTGCAATCATTGATCCGTCGGAACAGTAATGAGGTGGCCTCAACGAAAGTCGACGCCGCCAAAAAGACGTCGTCACTTCAGGAAGCTGCCTTGACACAAAATAATGATAATGAATGGCTAGACGATGTTCGAGCGAGGCGATGGTCAGCCCCTGTGGACGAAATGGAAGGGTCATCATCTGGTTCTTGCAGCTTACAAAAGCAAACCGCTTCGGATGGTGGTATGTGTGCAGAAGCGCAGCTCACACGACTTAAAGCACGGATGCACGCCATTGACATCGATGCAAAGCGCGAGATCCAGTAAGTTTACTACGTGTATGCTTCTTACAAAAAATAGAGGTTTGCTCACTTTGGCTCGTATCATTTGCCGTAGAGCACTTCGAGCCCAATTGGAAGGTGTAAAGCGAAGTCATGTTTTGAGAGAAAAGCAGTTGATGCATGAGTCTACGATGAAGGCTTCAGCTCTTGAGCAGAAACACGCAATTGCTACGACTCGACTTGCGCAGAAGGCTGCAGATTGCACAGCACTAGTGGAAAAGCTCCAGACCGAAAATAAAGGGCTAGTGACACAGATACAAGCACAGGAAGAGCGTTTGAAGCAGCTAGAGTTTGCTTTTACTCATAAGAAAACCGTGAATTCCTCTCGATGAACGCAAATCGACAAAAATTTACGCCCAAACCCAAGACTTTCGATCGTTTATGTACATGCAGACTGTGCATACTGTGACGAAGCAAGAATTTACTGTGAATGCAGACGAACGAACGAAACCGTATGAAACAGACAGGCAGCAGAAGGACACAATAAAACACAGAGATGAGACGCATCAGTCGGCTGGGATTAGACGATCGAAAGTCTTCGAAGGTCGACTGCTCTGCTCTCTGCTCTTTCGTGGCAGCCTTTTCACGCATTTTTCGTTCTGGAATTCCTAATCTTTCCAAAGATTTAGCAAACTAATGTTCTTCCAGAATAATAATACTAACGGGTACGGCTCTAGATCACCATGCTACCACATAGCTCATTAGACGCTGGTAAAATGCAAGATTAAGATGGATGTCGAATTATACATAGGCGCTTTTTCTTTGGAAACGGTACTCTTGCATCACTATTCGCATGGTATTATAAGTTCTACTTCATATTTTATCTCAGAAAAAGGTCGTGCGTGATTCCATGTAATGTTGAGCACCAGCACAGTCGAAGCACAATTAGCCAATGTTTATGACGGTCGAACAGGCATAGGCACTGCCTGCAGCTTCTTGGACATAATGCAAACGGTCACTACGGCTCCAGCATAATCGCATAATCACTTAGTGAGAAATTTTAGCTATGCATAACAACACATGCTCATATCAAGAAAAAAATCACGCAAATGGAAAAATTAGTTGTTGTTCCTGATCAAATATATAAAACACATACAAAAAAAATCATGCTCAACAATGTCTCTAAGATAGCATGCTATTAGGTACTACATGATAAAAAGTCCCAAAAGTATTCATTGAGCATGCCATTGAGAGAACAGTTGTAATAGTCTATATATATACATCAAAATCTCTAACGAAGTTAAGCAGCCTCTAAGGGGTACAGTGGTCAAGCACTGAATCGTTGACCCAGTAGTCACCGGTTCGAATCCCACCAAGAACAAGTTTTTCTATACCCAACGGGACCCCGACTACAAAAATGAAAAGAAACTTACTCAAATAATCTCACTAATAATCTAAAATTGGACTTTATGATGGCGACTCGTAAAAGTGTCAAAAATTAAGACAAGTATCCCAGCGGATTGAAGCAATGTACACCGTTAAATCCAGATTAATCTCTTAGACAACCCATTTGCTAGTCGCACTATTTAAAGCCTCTAAATTATATTATTTACGAGAGGATACCTTCACGTCGAAGCTCTAGTACGAGCGAGATCCTTAATACATACACGAAGAAAGTTTAAATTAAATGAGTCTATTTGTTTTTGGAGAATCAGCCAAGAGCTACATTAACTGGCTGCTACTCACTGCTTGAAAGGAAAGAGAGCAGGAACGGTTTTCTGACCGAGCATATTACGCCATTTTTCGGCCTAAATTTTGCCCTCGAGATCAGAAGGTGAGACGAAAGAATTCTTAGCTATTGCCCGAAAGAATGTGAGCTACTGGATTGTCCTACATGTTTGCACACTTTACAGTTGAAAAGCAGCCTAAGTTCTGGCACTGTTTACACACCTTAAATTTTTATTCGATCATGCACAATACAATATAGCACAATTCCACAAAAATCACAGAACACTTGTGTAATTGTGAGCGCTGTAGGCTTCTAAAATATTGACACTGATGAAGACGATAGAATTCTGTAAAAGAAAGGTCCGAATAAACTTGTGCAAATATCCTGCCTTCACGCAGTACAGGTAGTATATGATTGATTATACAAAAGCTAATAAATAGTGTGTGAAACGAAAACGTCGAAAATGTCGGTTAAAGATTGCGAAGCAAATGTGACACTAGGTTACCTTCGTGACTTTCGAATTCATTTCCGGATGAGTTGATCCAACCTCTGTGTTTTGTAGACATGAATTCAATGAGTAAAAGTTATCTTGTGCAAGGTGCGCGACAAGCCCGTTGCACTTGATAACGCTTGAAGCTAACTCCGTCGACGGTGACAGAGTCGTGGATGGACTGTATGATGAGCGAAGATAAAAATTGAGTTGTTTCCTTAAAACACGATTGATCTTAGCCTTTGTTGGTCGCGAGGCGACAGCACGCTTGGTAGCTGCTGGTGCTGAGCGTCCAGTTCTTTAAGGGCAGCGACGAAAAAGTCTCTCTCTCTGGATGTGACAAATTTGGCATACTTATGGAATCGGCAATGCTTTAAGCGGATCAACTGCGCGTCGCGTGTTGGCCATAAATCTTAGAGGGCTCCAAAATCAGGCGCTAACGTGCAGTATCTCTGTGAAAACGGATTATCTATCTTGAAAACTAAAAGTCGCAGATGTTGCGAGTGTTCGTACCGCCGAATCAGTAAATTCGGACGCGCCCTGAAGTTTTGCTCATCCGCCAGTAAAGGCGAAAACTAGCTGATTTTTTCATGAAATCGTCGTCACAATGGCGTAAGACCCTCTTTTGGAGTTTATAAATGTTGCCATTTTCGTGGGGGCTTCAAACATGTTCGGTTTACACCACAGTCACCTAATCCGGCGATTTCTTAAGCCCTTATAGTGCAACCAATGAGTCCAGACCACAGTCACCTAAACTTTTTCAAAGGTGCGATTTTTTGCATCTAGGATAAAATGAAGTTTAAGCCGCGAGGGCGAGGTTAATACCGTAGGCCAAAGCTTTACGAAAGCTTTGAGTGCGGTAGACCCCAGCCATGCAGAGAAAAGTGTTAATCTCTGGACGCCGGGTAGCTCGCAGATGGTACATCTATTTGAGTCTAAAAAAATCGCACCTAGTGTGTCACTTTCTTTTTCAACTGAGGGACACGAAAGCGTCCTTGAACAACCCCCTCCTCGCGGAAACGGTCGAGCCCCAGTAAGCGCAGGGTGGTCAACTGGAAAAAAGGTGCCTTTATTGTAACTCGTGGAAGTCAAAGTCAATACGATTTAATCTAAATAGAAGCGAGGATATTGAACAGAGATAAAGCTTACAGTCCATGATTGACAGGATTTAGCATTTGACGTCGCGGTTTGATGTAAATCTGAAAAAATACGAATGGATTCGAAAGCGCCGTGCAGATAAGTGCGACGCGCGATGTCGACGGTATAAGAACACATTGAAGCCAATACTGACTGCCTCAACCAGAGTTCAGAAGGCAGGAATTGCAATTTGCGACAAGAAAAGCAAACGCATTTTGCAATCTTCAGTGTGTACATCTGCCGGAAGAGAAAATGCCAGGGAGTGTCGTAGTACCCAGCGGGTAACTCTGGTAGAACGATGAGTAACAGCTGTAAGCTGAAGTCTCTTATATTAGAGCCGTTGGATTTAAAGTAGTAGAAATAACAGTCCATAAGTTATCACAGGGTAATTCAATCCTGTCACTACTGCCGAGTAGCATCTAATGTGCTCATCGCGTAATGTGGTGAGACCTTTCTAATGTTATGGCCGGAAGCGTGAAATTGCCATCCTGAAGGGTCTAACAGACATCATGAGCCATTGATTATCTGAAGTCAAGATGCTATGTGCCACGCAGTGGCTATGATGAGAAAGCAGTAAGGCACAGTGCTGCAACATCTCTGGTGGAGGACATTTTCACTGCCTGAAAAAGGTAGCAACAACTGCTATAGGTCTCTGATAGAGCTCGGAAAGATGACGTGGTTGAAAGCCGTGTCGTAGTGAATGAGTAGCCGTATGTCGTGGTCCTTGCTATTAGAAAGGAATGTATAAATGTGAGCCGGGAACAAGGACAGAAAAAAAGAGACTGGGCTTCGCTGTCTTCAGAGGTCGACCATGTGAGACGAAGCAACTTAACGTCGTGGTATATGCTCCTTTGAATGATGACGGATGTTGTCGCAACGAGGAGACCCAGGCTCTGATGCTTAAAAAACATCTGTGTAACTGTTTGACGGCAAAATTAAGTCACCAGCACCAAGTGATGTACTTATTAAACAGAACATTGGATCTCCACGGGTATATAGCGGGAATTTTAATCACCTGTGGAATAGGTGTGAGTTGTAATACAAGGGAGCAGTAATATGCAACCCCTGGTAAAAGATCGCTTGATGGTTGAAGATTAACTCTAAAAGAGTGGATGCAAGATAATCCAAGAAATCATCACCGTGTTTGTATTGTTCAGACCGAAGACAAAGACAAGCATAGATGAGTTCGTTTTAAAAAATACTTCCAGAGCGGTGAGTGCGAGAAGTGGAGCGTTTTCTTCAAAGATTGAGCGAGTTTTGTCGAACTGTTTAAAGAATTTTTGATGCAATGAATAGAGGTCGATTATGGCTATCGCGTTGAATCGACAAGCTTGTCAGAAAAGTGACCAGGTTGCTGAAGCTAAATGCTGCGTCACTAGTAAAGGTACAGGCACTGTTTGGCAACGTACAGCATTCAGCAAATCAGTATACGAACTTCATTCTTTGGATGGATAAGACCATCGTAACCCAAAGCTTGGTTTGACTTATCCTAAATTTCAAGGCATTTTCGCGGTAGCGTCGAGATTGATCATTACCCGTTGCTGTCGATGACAGCATATCCATGGCTTCTTCTGACTTCACGCGCCTGGTCAGAAAGGTAGTTAGGTCCAAGCATGTTTGTAAAACTTCCTCAGAATTCCCGCGATGCATCCGACTTGACAAGTCGTGATGGTTTCGCTCTTATTCTTGCTGGTGCATATCATTTCATGGACACCTCTCTATGCGCCAACGCTGATCAGCATGGTCGCTTCCTGATGCTCGACCCAGTCATTAGGACTCTCCAGTTTTCGCTCATGTCGTGTACGCACCAGCCGATTTGACTCCGCATAAAAATTTCGACTCTCTGCTCACCCGTGAGGCAAACCATTTGATTCTCGGTGATCTCGATACACCAGTCAACCACTGCTTGGTGAGATGATTCCGTATCCAAACAAACCATGTCGCGATGAGCTCCAGTCAAGTTTGGTGCTCTATATCTCCGGTAAGGAACTTTTCCCAGCCGCCAGGTCTTTTCTGGTCCCAACTAGCAAACTTCGTTGTCTCATAACGCTATATATCTTTGAGCAATGCCCCCAAAGACACGGAGAAGGATTGGTATCATGCTGACGATTACCATTATCGAAATTTACTACATGTCGTCTTCACACCCTTGCTCTAAAAGACAAATGCACTCGGTGACCCTTTCTTATATCGCTAGTCACGAAGGCACTAGCACAGACATTGGAATGTATTTGCAAGCGTCTTCGTTAAATACCAAGAAATAATTTTGGTTTTCTTCTTGCCCAGCAGACCACCGCAGACCGTGCCATACTCCGAGACAAGCATCGTCCTTAAAACCGAGAATTACGAATGGTACGCCAAGCTTCGTGGGAATCTCGGCATGGCCCATGCCTTTGTCAAAGTGTGTTCAACGACAGGCATGCATGCTGACGTTGAGGCAGCTATAAGTGACTGAAACCTTTCAAAGATAATGTTACAGCCATCGGGAGGCTGCAAAGCTTGATCAAAATATCTCGAAAGGGAAGCGCGGGTCGGCCAAATTCTTCTTAACCTATCTACAGCGGCACACACGGGGACCATTCCCAGGGTCGTCATACGGACGGTACGATTACAAGCGATTCTGATGAATAGCGGCCGGGTACCGCATACTAAAGTTGTTTGTATCATTCCCCAATCCAGGCACCTACGCAATACATCTCGGCTCTTGTGTTAGAGCCCATCAAGATTTCAAGCGTTGTTCAATTATACGCGAGCTAGTCTCACGAATGCCTAGCTACAAGGCCAAAATGCTTTGGTGACGGCTTAAGAGCTGTATTGGGCAATTAAGAACTTTCACAAGGGCAGGATACGACGGTCTATCCGCGGAGTATGTCCAGCCAAATACCATCCGAAGGGTACAGGTACTTGAAATTATCTACGCTTACAACTTCGAGTGAGACCTGATGACCAAATCCCAGCACGAACCACATCTCGCTGATATTTGATGGTGGCGACCGCAGCCCTTCCAGTAATTAACGTCCGATCACGTCATTCACCCTAAAGTGCTAGCTTGAAGACTTAGGGGCATTCTTTTCTGAAAGCTTCCCTCTGATCAGACTGGATTCGTCGTAGGACATATCATTTGTCATGCGTTGCTTCAATTTCAAGATCTTCAGACCCTTGCATAACGCCTTGGTTGATCGACGGCTGTGACGTAAATTTCTCCTTTGCTAAAGCCTTCGACAGCATCTTCTGGCCGGCGCTAGCGATGGTACTCTGGTGAACGAGATTTGGCAAATCTTCTGCGACTATGTGATGTCTCTGTTTTGTAGCACTTTCGCAAGCGTGTTAATTAATGAACAGCGACCGTCTTTGACCCTGTCTAAGCTTCTCGATGCTCGGTGTCCCAGCACCATTCCGTATCCTATTTAAGAAGATTCGACAATGGCCGTGCCATATCCGCAAAATTTGCGCTATACTTGTGCAAGTAGCTGGCGAGGCCAAACCACTTGCGCAAGTCCTTTTGATTTTTTTGATCCGGCCAGTCCACAATGGCCTTGACCTTAGCGGATCCGCTCGAAGGCCACTCTTCCCAATGAAGCACCCTAAAAAGGTAATTTCTTCAGCGCCAAAGATGCTTTTAGCTTTTATCGGCATTAGCATACAGTTTATTCTTGCGTATACACGCAAGCACCGCTCTCAAATGGACGATGTGGTTTTTCTCATCTGTCCTCCCGTGTTCCGCACGACTGTGGACGAAGATGTCCTCAAAGTATGTTTTTGCATACGCCCATAAAACCTACACAATTGCACCACAAGACGACCAAATCGTTGCTGGTGCATTTGACAGCCCTTGGGACATCAACAGCCGCTCCCAGAGCATCCCGCTTGGAGAACTCACCGCTGTCAGCGAAACATCACTCGCTGTCATGACTAATTGGTAATACTCATCGACCAAGTCGAGTGCGCTGTGCTTTGTACAGCCAATCATATTGTTCCGGAGAACATCCATCCTATTAATCGGCGCCTATGCCGGAATGGTGGCAGCATTTAGCTTATTGTAAGCGTAAGCGATACGCCACTTGCCGTTCGGCTTCCGGACACAAAACTTCGGTGTCGGATGGGGAGAGCTACTCTGATGTCCCATTCCTGCGTCGTGCTTTGCACGGAAGAAGCCGTCATGACGTCACACTGCTCCTTGTGCAGAGACCACTGGCGTGTTACGCAGTATTTGGATCCTGGAACTAGGCAATCTTGTGACGCACACCTCGGTCCGGAGGTAGGACCGACGGCGGGTCTTTGGATACGATGTCTTGAAGTACCTTTACCAAAGGATAGTACGGATTCGAGGGATTCCGTGGGATCAATGATCCACTTCGTACGTTTAGCATCCTCTTAGTATCCTCCAGGACAGCTTCATCTAGAAGCAATGACGAGGTAATCTCCTCGTTCGGTCGTAAACTCACCACCCTGGCTAAATCGTCTTTTTTCAAGGCACCGCCAAAATCTTCGAAGGACATCTCTTCCAGCTCAAGAAGGGCATCCACCAAGGAAATCGTCGCCGTTTTCTTCTCCCGTCATATCGTTGACAAGGGTGTATGGCTGTGCGCTATCGTCTACAGTAGACACATCTTGGGTCAGGGTCGACGCCCTACGTCTTGCAGGCAGCAATGACATCGCCGTCTCCTCTCTATAGAGGTTTTACGTCTAATCGAGACCAGTTAAAACACGCACCCAACGATGTCCAGTGTTTTCACTCCCTGATCGATCGTAGCCTTGATGTTATTAACAACATCCGACGAAGAACTGCTATTTCCGCAGTCTTCGTCCAGTGGATAAAGTGCCAATCCATGCGGATTAGAAGGGCCTTGCTCAGGTTGCCTCTTCCAACCAAGCCACTCTTAACATGCAGCAACTGTTATGATACTTGAGTAGTGCTCAGTGCGTTACGATCAACTCCACGTTCAGCCCGCGAGTCATGCTCGAGACTCTTGCCCGATACACCTTCGGTGTTCGACACCTCGGATACTTCGATATCCAGCACATAATCACCCCGGTCCAGTGCCCGCGCCAATAGCGCTTCTGCTAGCAGATGCGCTTTCTTAGCAGAGGTGATTTCATGACTCACCAAAGCTCTATCAGGAGACGTGCGTGTAGCGCTTAAGGTCTTCGACCTCCAATAAATCTTTTGCCCAATGTGCTCCAAGCATGCCAAACCAAAAATAAGGCTTGCATCCAAGTCTAAGACTCAGCAGCGTCATACGCTATCGAAGTCAAGAAAGTTGACACCGAGGTCCACAGGTACCCTCGGCACAAGGACGCAAGTCCCCGTCGCTAAGCAAACAGTGACGGTGTCATTCAACCGCGCTTTTAGTGCCTCAGCGTACAGCTGACTTTCTTCAATCGTTGAGCGCGAAGCCTAATTGCCCGACGTACCACAATTAGTAAGGATCATCCATGGATTTTCAAAGCCCTTTACAGTCGCCTTCACAACCAGCAAGCTTGCATACACGTTCCGTGTTCAGGAGCAAACAGCTCTACGGGGCTAGGCCCTGCTGCCCTCTACTTTTTCGATGCTCAACAGAGCTCAGTCCTTTCCCCAGTAGTGCGCCCGCGCCTACTGGGTGCTCTCATTTCCCCGCGACAAATCAGACTTGCTAGAACGTCGGTTCTATGAACCGTTACGCGCCTTGCGCAGTGGACAACCAGTTCGAAGGTACGGATGTTTCCACGGAGCTCTCCCTCCTCATTCCCAGCATAGCTGAGATCCATTGTATCAGGATCGTTTGACGAGCTCTGAGGGTTTGCAGTCCAACCAAGTCGTGCCAACTTAAAGTTAAGTTTGGCATCCAATGCCCCACTCACCGCTTATTCCAAAGAAGACAGATGCACACGGAAGACTCCCAGTCTGGCCACGCCAGTGCGGAGGCCCTCCATGGTCACTGTGACCGTCTCGGGGAGAGGATCGGCTGAGATCCGGCGATGAGAGTGGACATAGTCCACAAATTTCTTCTTGCCCCATCGGGCGGCAAGAAAATGCAATCGCACGCTATATGCCAGGTTAGGCGGTAAGAACACTTGTAAAAGCTACAGCTTCAGCTCCGTTCAAGAGGCAAACGCCACTTCAACCGAAGTGCCGCACGTCAGTGCCTATTCCCGCGTTCGGTCATCGAGCTTCGAGATAGCTAGCGCCACGCACTGTTACTCGTTCTGGGGTATGGCGGATGCAATAGCCATCTCGGCCTCTTTAACCCAGAGCAGGAGATTCTCTCCATCCTAACCATCGAAGGTCTTAACGCTCACCATGAGCGGTCTGGATCGGGAGAAGTCATTCGTCGTTGACGGTGGCGTCATGGACGCAGCCGATGTCGACATTTTTTTGGGGTGCTCTAGCAGAGATTTTCATAGTTCGAAAAACGCCTTTAGGCGCGCGTCTATCGCTTTGAGCTCTTGCTCAACAAGCTGTTTCACGCCCTCAGGGCCCAGCAGGGACATCAGCTTATTAAGCCCGTCCTGCATGCCCTGGGGCAAATAGGAGTATTGACTCAGGTGTAGATTGACTACGAATGCTACCAAGTACAGCAGGTCTTCATTAGCTCTTTACTTAGAGGAAACTATTCTAAGGTCACCGACCTTACGTTCTATACAAGAACCAGTACCAGTGTAGCGGATCGCAATCCGCTACCTCCCAGAGTACTCAAAAACTTAACCACGGTAAACACGCTCTTAAGTTCAAAAGGAAACTGTATCTAATCGCTTAATTTGCGGCGGAGCCGTCTATGTTTAAAAGCATAGCTTCGCCTGATTAAATACTAAATCCTAATTAACATGCATCACTACTACTGGCAGTTCTGCCACGTAGTTGCATCTTGTTACGGTGTATCCACACCATTTTGTGATTACATCAGCTTGTGTAATCCACAACTTTGTACGGTCTCACCATTTTGTGTGACCCGTGCTTTCATACAAGGGTCCGTGTAACTCCGTTACACTCTGGATTCATGTAACCCCATTGTATTATATCTTAAAGCTAAAATATGCAAAGGCATCATAAGAAACATTGATTGGCTTTGGAACGACGTTTGATCATAAGGCTTGCTCTCCGACTCCACTCACATACGATCTTGTACTGATAATGTGCAATTAAAATAAAAAAAAAACGACACAGGGGTTGCTTGAAGGTCATTATTTGCCAAGTGAACTGTCTGAGTCCACAGTGGGGTGCTCATTTCGATGCAAGAGGGTGCAACGGGGGACGTACTCTTCTATTCTGTCCGTATCCATAAAATTGTTGCTGCAACGGTTTGCCATGCACCTCGCACAGCATAACATTTGGCTTAACACATTTGCGTTAGCTATCGCATAAACAATGTATTCGTACGCTCCACCAAGGAAATGCAATTCTAGAGTGACTTTTATTCAAGATAATCTAATTCCAAGCTAGATTTTTTTTGTTATTATGTATATTCAGTATTGCAAGGTCGCGTGCCCCGCGCATTTCTCCCTTAACGGAATCCCATCATATTTGGTATCATTTTTGCTTAGATGAATAAAACATCTCAAAACCTAAAATCAAACGACGGTGTACTCATTTTCTGCGCGTTGGCTACCCCAGAACTGAGAGTCGGGGCTTTATTTGTGCGTGCTTCGCGGCTACTCTGTTACTTGAGCTCTCAAGTGATCTAGATAACATCAAACGATACCTTATTTGCGCACAGAATGTCGTCTAATTTGACAACTGATTTCACGCCCTCACATCAGTGGTCATTCTAGTCTCATATGATTTTCGAAGTCGTCGTAGGAAAAAATCCAGCTTGAAAGAATTGTGCACCCGACTGAACTAGATCCACCTAAGCTTAACACGCAATCGTATAATAGCTTTATACGATTGCGTGTTAAGCTTAGGTGTGTCCCTCTCCGCAGCTTTAGCCCAGCAACGTTTATGCCTTGTATGTCTACTGGAACAAGTGTAAAAGGCACAATGTTTTACTATACTCCTTGTCGCACTTATACGAGTGATAACTATAAGCGTCCAGTGGAGGGGGGTAATGCCCACAAAGCGGCAAGCAAGACTCTTTCTTACGCCACTTTAGCGGTCTCCAGCACCGGTCATGATTGATCCGTTTAAGGATAAATTTGCCTATTTCAAAAACAACATTCAGACTGCTGAAGACAAGGTTCGTAATTTTTAGTATAGTGACGCCTGAAATCGCTTTTTAACTCCTTTCCGCATCACCACAAGTAGGAGGAATTTGACGCCAGTCAATATTACTATAACCGTGATGAATTCTCAAGTTCTAAAGGTCCAGTCAGCAGCAACAATGGATTAAGCAGCAGTGGAGGGCCGCATTTAAATCTTTCGTCCTTTCACTCTATGGGTAGCGATCTTGGTGTCGGAGCCATCGACACAGACGCTTCTGATGCCGCTATGGCGCAATTGCAGGGATCATACTCAGGATACAGTAGCAGTTTGATGGCGTCTGGGTCTAGCTCGGTTGGTTGCAGTTGATATGAGCTCATTCTGAAGGTGTTTTGACTCCACTAATGTAATATAATTGCAGTTTCTCGGTGGCTCCGGAATAGGCCGCGTGCAAGTGGGCGGAGGTGCAATTCCGCCTTCACATGAATTACATCGCTTAAATTCCGGTGTGTTAGTGTACAAAGGCTCTTGTGTATGGTGTCGGCTAATCTCTGCCATTAACATCGCTGATATTTGTGTAGGACGGAGTTTTCAATTACAGGCGGAGAACAAAGCACCTGACATGTCTGAATTTCCTGCTTTAGGATCTAGGTAGGCAAACATCCAGATCTACTTGTATAAATCTGATGAAAGTTTGACTACTTATGATCAGAATGGGATCTTTGTCACTGGACACGACTTTCGAAGGCACAGTAGCCGACCGTATGCGAACACAACCGTCTGAATTTGTCATACAGAAAGAAGATTTCCCAGCATTATCGACATTTGGACCAGTTTCTAGTGAGAGGAGTCCTATGGGGCCATTAGCAGAGCTTAAAAGAAAATCGAGCTTTACTTCGTCTGCGGCAGATGGCATGTTATCATCGCGGTTGGAACAGCAAAAGGGGGGCACGTTGATAGGAAGTCGTGCAGGTGGAGCGACATTTTCAGCAGGCGCAGGATCTAGTGGTAGCGTGACTTTAGGCACCGAAGCATTTGATCACTTTCGAGCACCTCGGCAAGATGAAGTGACTGCAAAAGCAGAAGTGACCAACAGTGAGCTGGACCCAAACAATCAATACGGACTTTTGGGAATGCTCCACACTGTGATACGACCCGGAAATGCTGAATCAAATACAAACTTGGCGATGGGCTGTGATCTCACGTCACTTGGATTGAATCTTAACTCGGCAGAGTATGCTTTTTGTTGAGCTTTTGACCAAGTAATCATGGGCTTGCTAATTTCAACTGCGCGGTGTCTTTTTGCCTCGATGTAGACCATTGTATCCGACATTTGCATCTCCTTGGTCAGAAGAGCAGCTGACAAAAGAGCCGCAGTTTTCACTACCGATGTGCTATTACAATCAGCCGCCGGTGCTTAAGACAACGCACTTATCGAAATTTCACCTCGAGACGCTATTTTTTATCTTTTACTCAATGCCCAAAGATGTTTTACAAGCATACGCTGCTCAAGAACTCTATAGTCGCGAGTGGCGATACCACGTGGATTTGAAGACCTGGTTAAAGCGCGCATCTTCGGCTGACGCTGCGCTTATAGCAAGCAACATCAGCTCATCAGTCGGAGGATCCACTAATGGTTCACCCACAGGTGCAACAAGTAACGGCACTATCGGGTCAATCGGTAGCGCTATGGGCTCCAATACGGGATCATCGCTCACAAATAACTCGATGACACCGCAGTTTCTGTACTTTGATGCGACCACGTGGGAACGGCGTGTGTTCGCTGGAAACATCACCTCGATTAGTGCTGGACTTTTAAGTGAAGAAGAGATTCGGGTCAAATTTACTGCATCTTCGTAATATAATACGAGAATTTGACCATCATTTATGTTGGAGCTGCTTGAAATATGTCAACTATAACTTGAATATTAGGATTTGAGCAGCTCACATCTTCACTTTACTGCTGTACTGTCTTGAAATAGTGAGTAATAGTTTGTAACAATTTGCTTTTTATAATACAGTTATATTCCTAATTTGAAGCTCGTCCAGAAGCGGTGAGATTATGGTGACCATAAGTAGATAAGTGATGATCCCCAAAAACAATGAGATCGGAAGCGCTGGTAAAGAATCGAAGCTTGCTAGCAAGTAAAGTGTTATACCAAGACCCTGGAAAAGAATACTTTCACGAACTTGAAAAAGCGGCAAAAAATACCGTCAAAACTTACCACGAGGATGCTGAGAGAGCAGGCTGCAAATACGTCAAAACCGTGTAGCGATGCACGAGCGACTAATACGCTGTAAAAAATAAAATCTCCGAGGCCCAACTTAATAGACTTGCTCTCATATCCATCATGACTGTCAGCTTCGTCGTACGTGTCCAAAGAAGCAGGAAACACAGACCGGATGCCCGGATAAGGTTGCAAGCTTGACACATAATCAATGCCGTAATATTTATAGAGAATTTGCCAAAGACGGAGCTGGTTGCGCTCAAACTTTCGAGCGAGCTCTTCGCTTTGGTCTTGGCACTGTGAACTTTGATCAATTAGAAACGCTTGAACCTGATTTCGAAATAAATTCGCATTCACTGCTTCATGATCTTGCAACACACTAATAGTCTGTTCTGCAAGAAGTAAACGCTGGATAAAAATCTGCTCTGGTACATTGCCACGAGTTGTATATGCTTGCCGCTGAATCTGTTTACTGTCATCAATATGAGCATCTCGCACATTTGCCTCAAAAAGGAGACCGGAAATCGGTGTACCCTTTTCGTGGATGAGATCAATCAGGCAACGGAGTGGCCCAACTGGGGTCAACACAGCAAAAAGGTCCCAGAAACCTAGAAGGAAAAGTAACATCCATATACTCCACTACTTCACTGTGTTAACCTTATCATTAAAAATGCACAGTCAGCACTATTTACCTCGGGTAATTGAGCAAGCTGCCATGTTACGATGATACTGGTAGCAATAAGGTATCCTCGCTCAAAAGAACTAGGGATGCCTTTTTGATAAAAGATACTGAGCACACCGACAGTTGCAAAATTATACATGACAACGGTAAGCGAGATGCGATCGATGACCCAGTGCAGGTTTTCACACAATATAATAACGACAAGCTTGGAGCCTATGAGTCCAAGCAGCACAGCTGAGTACAACATGCAGTACCACGCAAAGAAATGCATGCCATTGCATTTGTAAAGCAATACGATTCCAAATGTGAGGAGAGCAATGACGACAATCACCAAGAGTGCATTTAGAAAAGCTTCTTCTGTTTTTTCCGCAGTCGACAGTCTGGAGGAATCAATGTCTTGATAGTACATGTAAACTCTATTCGTATACGATGTTAAGATATTCGTAGAAGAAAGAACACAACTAAATTCTTACGCCATAGAACGTTTCATGATCGGATCAGAAATGTATGAGACAGCAAGACTGCAAATAAAAAAAAATGATTAATAACATGTAGCATGCGATCTTGTGATGTCTTTGAGTACCTCGAGCAGATCATGGCAATAGAAACCGGCCAGACGACTGCAAAGAAGCTATTGAGCTGATGAATCACTGTTTTGAAATCACACTGTTCGACCTGTTGGCTTTGCTGCAATCGTAACTCCTTGACTTCGTATACCCTTCTTTTATCAAGTAAGGGTTCTTCGTACAGTTTAGGGCTTCAAACAGTAAGGGATGAAAGCTTTAACACAATATGCCAAAAAATCTCACTATTCCGTCACTTACTTGCCTTCAGTACCAGCGAAGCTGAAGTAGTTAGCACTGACCAAGCTTCTTGCATTTCCCATTATTGCCGAAAAGATCTAAAGCGATAGTGTAAAGATCCTTTGATAAGGTTTGCTTTGGCTAGAGAGTCGCCGTAACGTCATCAATGTTACTCAACAATACGATTGCTCACGATGGGGCCAAAGAAGCCGATCAAGAAAGCGAAAAAGGCCAAAAAGGAAGTAGAAATTTTACCAGAGGAATCCTCGGGTGCGTTCTAGCAAAGAACAGAGCAATTTATATATCTATATTCAACCTTGTTTGATGTTGATAGAGTATGACATGATGGACGTGTCGATGCTGAAGGAGGCGATTCAAATGCTGAAACAACAGCTTGGTAAGGCACAAGTCGACCGGAACTATGTGCAACACGAACGCGTTAGTGCTTGTTGGTTTGGTTAGCTTTTGATACGTCGTTGATGGTTCTGAATATGATATAGGACATGATAGAATCATTCTACGACATTACTAAGCAAGAGATTCAAGACTATGAAAATCAAATCATGGAAAAAGACCGCGAGATGGAGATTATGGAGGATAATCACCGAGTTGAAGTACGTGTGTATGCACAGAAAGTCAAGCATTTGGACTACGAACACAAGCATAATCTCAAGCGCGTACAGATTGACGGCTCAAATCATATGGACGAAGAGCGTGATCTGCATGAGCATAGAGAAGTGGTGCTACGAGACAAGAAGCAGTCGCTAAAACTTGAGCGTAAAGAGCGCGATCTGTCGAATGAAGACGAGATTGAACAGATGAATCAAGCCCATGAGAAGAATTTGTCGAAGCTTCGAGAACAGTTTGAAAAGAACAATGCAGCACTTGAAGGTCGATGTCAGCAGCGTCTGCAAAGTCTGCAGGAGTCGCTAGAGCTTCGATGCAAGGTGGATACTCACGAGATCGAAGAACGAAAGAACATGCACATCAACGATCTGATGAAAAACCACGAAAAAGCTTTCAAGCAAATCAAAAATTACTATAACGATATTACCAAAGATAACTTGCGTCTCATTGACTCGCTCAAGAATGAAATTGCGACTATGAAGAAGAAAGCTGCAGCTAATTCGAAGCTCATGCTCGATGTTTCACAAGAAAACAAGCGGCTTTCGGAGCCTTTGGCTGCTGCAATCAAAGAGGTGGAGCATTTGAGGCACGAACTGAAAGATGAACAGAAAGATAAATTGTCGTTGCGAAATGCTAAAGCGCGGCTCATTCAACTAACGCGACAGCTGCACGACCTTAAGCAGAATCAAGTAAAGCTTGAAAATGAGTATTCCGCTATGAAGACACAATATGATGCATTGTACGACACGTTCGAAGACACAGTTCAGACCGTCCATAAGAAGAGTGAGTGCAAGAACCTCATTTTAGAACAACGGCTCGCTGCGATGGATGGTCAGCACTCTCGCAAAGGCGCCCAACTGCAGGAGATTCTACTAGCTGCGAATCTTGATCCAATGCAAGCGCATCGCGTCACTGAGACTCTAAGTACTCTTTTAAGGTCTAAGAACGCTAAAATTCGCAGTCTCCAGTACAATGTGGTCAAGGAGAGCAAAGCCTACAATGACACACTGCGTACCTTTACGCAAAAGTTGACACAGTTTGGCATTTCTGACGAGGAAATTCGAGAGCTTGGCTTTAAGTTTCATACTGCAAACTCTAACGTAACCCCGGCTGGACTCGTAACAATGGAGTAATGAAAGCGTTGGCTTATAACTCAAAAGTATGTTTTTGTTGATGCAACTTGCTAATACTTGTTCGTTTTTGTGACAATATAAACGCGAACAGTTTGGTCCAAACACGCCAAAGTGCAGAGACCCTCACGATCCGGACTATCATTTCACGTAGGAACAAGATTTGTCAGGAATTACAAAAGCAAAGATCAAAATTTCGCATAGTAAATATCTTACCTCCAATCCATGCTAACTATCGGCTGGGTCGATAGCACACGGGAATTGAGCAGCTCAACCGTGCCACATACACCATACAGCCTACCATCAGAGTCTTTTGCTGTCCTCGATAGCGGATAATGGCTAAAGAAAGATACACGTATCAAAGGGTTAGATCAAGCACTCAGAACCCTAAATACTCAACACAAATACTATTTGTATAAGTTGAAGCCTCCGTTCCCGCCTCCAGTCATAAAGATATCACGATTCTGTGGCAAGAAACGGCCTTGCCAAATCGTCGACTTGTGGGCCTTCTCGGTCATACACGCAAATCCTTTTTCGGGATGAAATGTTCGCAGATCGTAGATCCGGAATTTAGACTCAAGCGTGGTGACCAATAACTTGTTCATTTCAATGTCTTTACGGTCAAATTGCACATTTACAACACCGTTCTGACAGTTGGTCTCCCACTTAAGCGTATTCGTGCGCAGGTCAAACATCTTAATGTCTCCGTTATCATATCCTCCAGTAACACAGCGCTCTGCGTCGTTATATGCATTTCCAAAGCAAACTGTCCAGCAATCTCGTGCCGTGTCCTGTTCTTTAGGGACGAGTGTCACTACTGGATCAGACACGCGGACGTCCCAAACTCGAATGCAGCCGTCGCGTCCGCCTGTGACAAGTTCAGGTGATCCACTGCCGATGTTTTGACCGCCGCAGCCATCAATGGCGTTTACAATTGACTTATGAGCTTGAGCTGAATATACAGGCACGTCGGCTTTTTCCAAATCCCTAAAGCAGCACACGTTCGACTTGAGTTAGCAGTCATTTCTCATGCTCATTCTTCTACATACCAGACGCTCATAACGCCACCGTAATCACCAGTAGCCAGATGACGATCTTCCAGCATTGACGCTCCAAATGTACCACATTTGATACCGTGTGTCTTTTCGTGCACCGCATGTGTCTTCAGTTCGCCTTGATCAAGGCCAAAGACCGTGAGCGCACCTGTAGCTTTTGGGTAGATACCCATAGCCACGAATCGTGCTGATCCTGGAATCCACTTTGTGTCATTCGGTGTAAAGCTGACGCTTTGATTGACGTGCTCGATGAGCTGTGGAGCGTCAGTCGTATCCATGGCCGTACCCCAATGCTGTATAGAACGTATCCATGACCTTTGAAAAGGGTAACAATTTAAACACTTAATTACAAATTATCAACAAACAATATCAATTAAATCCTACACGATTATTCGCAAATGCTTAAGTACAAACGAACTCATTCTGTCACTTTCCGTCGAATCGCGACAATTTTTGAGGTTTTCGCTTCTTCGTCGGTCTCAAATCTTCTTCGAACGAATTCGATAGAGACCGACTATCATTTCACGCTTCACTCCTTTGGTTAAGCGCCACTATAATCACACTGACGTTATCGTGCGCAAAGTAAGTCTGAGCCTTGAGCACAAGCTCCTGAGCAGCCAATTGGACATCTCCGTGAGTCTGAAGCTTCCGTAGCACAAAATTGACAGCCTGCTGTGAGGTCAAGACGTCGAAAATTCCGTCGCTTGCAAGCAGCAAAAATTGGTCCGACGGATCTACAAGATGCTCCACCACGTCGGGGGTGACGACCAAATGTCCATCCTGCTTGTGAGCAAGGTCACCAAAGCCACGAGAAATCTGAAGTATTCCATCCAGTCGCCCATTGTGTACAAAGCCACCTGAAGCTTCGATGCGTGCTTGTTCAGCTGGGAGAGACGCTTTGTGATCAGTCGTTAAATCGACTGCGACGGCGTCTCCAGTGCACAGAACAGCACGACAGTCTCCCACGTTAGCTACGTATAGTCGGACAGGCTGATCGTTGTCTTCTTCAGATGATATCTCAGTCATCACTTCTTGTTTCGCTTCTTGAGCTTCAGCAATTTCATCCATCGTTTCCATTACATGTTTTTTTGTTATCTTGTGTTGCTTGGCAATGACGACAAAAACACTTGCCGCACCAGAGAACGAGATCGGTTGCAGCAACGCTTTCATTTCGTCTCCACATAGAATGTCGCCATCCACATCGCAAAGTTCTCCTTCGGCGATACTAGTGTCTGGGTTGTTATTCCTTAAATGTCGTCGCAACTCCTCAGCTGCCATCGTGCGCTTACGTTTTGGAAGGACACTTTGATTCTGTTGCTCTAAAATTTCATTGTCGATTGCTTCACAGACCGAGGAGATGCACGAGACAGGAGATGCTACAAACCCAGCACCTTCAGCGAAAAAGCGATGGTGCAACTCATTTTGAAGCTTCACAGCTGTCTCCGTGCCATTATGACCATCGTAAACGGCAAAAAAAGCCAAAGACGCGTAGGCATCTGCGAGAGCGGCTGGATAACGAGAGAGATCACACGACGTCTGACCAGAACTCCGATCCTCCATGTATGAGCGCGCTCCTTTGGCTTCAGCGTAACCAGAGCGGATAGCAAGCGTCAGGTTCTCGCGCAATTTGCTGCTCACATAGACTTGAACAATATCCAACAATGAAACCGGAGTCTTGGAAGAAGCAGAAGCCATCGATGCGAGCGATCCAAGTGTGAGACTTTTTCCTTGGACGCCCGATGATAACAGGTCCGTCACCGACTTAAGTGATGCCTTTTGAGTTATAATCGGGGCAACTTCCTCATCGTCTTGACTGATGAGATCCAGCTGGTTTGGTGCAGTAATCAAATCTTTGAAAGTAGCGTCCACATCAACGTCACACTCGACGTCCGAGTAATCCGATTCGTCCGAGTCACTATCAACATCAGAGTGTTTTTCCAAGCCTGACGTATGGCTGCGATCGTGCGAGCTGTTTGCACGACTACTCTGGTGACGGAAATGCCGCGAGGACGCTCCACTGACTTTACGTAATCCGTGATTAAAAAGGTCATCGTCATCTTCATCATCTATCTCGGTGACTTGCACGCAGTCAATTCCATCCATATCAAATTCTTCGACAATACCATCGTCTGTGACCACCGACCGTGTCGAGCTGCTAACGGAACTGGCACTCCCGTTCAATGATTGGCGACTTGTGTTGGTCCTTCCCATTGCACTGCTCATGGCACTACCCATAGCGCTACCCATGGCACTGCCACTGCCAGTACTATTCAGCCTGCTTCGACTACTAATCTTGCCAGCACTTCCCAACCGCCTTGGCTTTTGGTTTGATGATGCGGATGAGCTGCTAGTGGAATCAGCACGCCCAGGCAGAAGCAACTCACGTCCTGAATTGGAGTGCGTCGGGACTCGAGAAGCTACAGAAAAATCATCATCTCGAGCTTGAAAAAGAATCTTTCGAGTTTGATAGTCTCCTCCCTCGTCACGAAATACCTCTGAGGTGACCATCAAAAAATCTTTTTTTCGCGAAAGCGACCGTTTCATTAAATCAGCATCCGATAAATTTGAGATGTTGCTGCTCGTATTGCTGATGCTTCCCGACTCACTGGATGACATGCTACCGCGTTGAGTAAAATGATCTTCAGGAGGAACGGCAGCCAGCTCTGATAACTGCGATACAGACGTGAATGACGTACGACCGAAACCTTCGAGGTTTCCCGAATCTTTAAACATACGATTCTGATAACCAGTGTTCTTGACCAGCAACGTACTGTCGACAGAGTTACTACGTCCACTTGGAAAGGATCTCGATCTTGGCGAGTCAGACGATGGAGTGGTACCACCAATTGTTGACATGGAAGCGAGAGATGATGTCGAGGACAAGACCGACTGCTCTTTTACTTGTTGGAGCGATGCAGTCGACGAAGCACTTGGATAGCGACTACGTGCCGTCGGTTTTGGAGCCGGAAGGATGATTTCCGTCACCTTAGCGCGTTCTGCTGAAAAAGCCATGCGTTTCTGCTCAATCAGCAGTTCACGAGAGCGCTCAGATAATTCTTTATGACCATCCATGAGCTGCACACGTTTATGATGGCGCCAAGCGCAAATTATTCGTGAGACCTCATCACTTGATGCTCGACTCGGACTTATTGACGTCACACTGCCGATAGTGGCTACAGATGAAGTAGTAGACACAGTCGAGGGAATGCGTGGACCCAACGTTCCTGACATTGCAGTGCCAGAGACATATCGTCCACTGTTAGTACGCACGACACCAGGCCCCACACTTTCTTGTCGAGTTTTCACTAGTTGGTGGGCTTGTGCAAGACTTTCCGATAGTCGTTGGTCGATTCGCTCTGGTATATTTTCAATTGCTCGTTCACTTTCATCCATTGACACAGTCAGGTTCTTCTCGGGTGTTATGAGACCAAGCGGATCACTTCCTTCTTTTGTAATCCATTCGTGTGTAAAACACTCCTTGAGAGTTATACGCAGCGCTGGGTCTTTAGTTAGCATACGCTGCAGCAGATTTTTCAAATGTGGCTCCATCGTACGTTCTACATCTTTTGGAAAGCGCAACTCGACGCGCTGAACACGTTCTGCCAGCAGAATCTCGTTGTCTGCCATCCAAGGTGGATGTCCAATGACCATCATGTACAGAGTTGCTCCCAGCGACCAAACGTCCACAGCTGGACCTTGGTAAGTCGCATCAATATCAAACATTTCTGGTGCCATAAACGCAGGCGTTCCTTTTGCACCGGATATAGTTTCGGTCTCGTTCATAATCATACGTGCTGTTCCAAAATCCGCAATTTTTGCTACGCCATCCGAGCTGACAAGGATATTTTCCGGTTTAATATCACGATGAATCACCTTGTGAAAATGCAGATACTGAAGCCCAGAGAGTAGATCGCGCATGTATTTACGTGCCACTAGCTCATTTAGCCGACGTGCTTGCGTAACTTCTTCCATCAGACTGTGCTGTACATATTCCTGAACCAGATACATCTTTTGACTATTTGGGTCATCAATCACTTCAACAAGTCGCACAACATTATGATGATTAAGTTTCTTCATAATTGCCACTTCGCGACGCAGTACATCATAAAGCTGATCTTCTTTACCAGCCATACGCTGCACAAATGTCTTGTGCATGATCTTAACGGCATACATTTGTCCGTCTTCCTGACTCTCACACAATTTGACACGACCAAACGTACCCCGACCCAGATCTCCTTTGATGACGTACTTGTTGACCACAACCTCACCATTTTTCAATCGCTGCTTCACCAGTTTTCGTGTCTCCGTTGCCTTAACAGGGGACGCAATGGGTGCCGGAGGTGGTGCAATGGAGCCGGACGAACTGTCCGATTTCGCCTGAGACGCGGAAGCTACCGTCGCAGCGCTATTCGCACGTTGCTGAAGTCGAAGACGCATAGCACGTCGCGTCGCCTTCTCCACGTATGCTTCCTGAATAAATCGCTGGAAATGATCCGATAAGAGGCACTTATCAAAGTCCTCTTTACTCAGATAAAGGCACTTAACAGGACCAGCAGCGCGGACAGAAGCTGTTCGTGGTTCGCTATAAATGAGCGACATTTCGCCAAATACGTGGCCCTCGTAAAGTCTTGTCAATTCCTTTTCGTACGGCTTTTTATCTGGACCTAAAGCATTTTCCAACACAATTGCTTCACCACGTGTTATCATGTAAAACCGCGTGCCTTCCTCTCCTTGGTGGACGATGTACTCGCCATCGCTAAAATTTGCCGGACGTAAGCACTTTAGCACTATATCTTGATCACGCGCACTCAGTCGTGCTAACAGCGGCACTTGCTGCAACATGAGACTCAAATGTACTTGGCCAATGTGCTGGAAATCTTCTTGAGTTAAGTACAATAGCTCTACGTCCCCGACAGCTCGTACAGTAGCCGTACGAGGATCATCATATATCAGAGCCAGCTCGCCAAAGTAGTGACCGGCTCGTAAATGCGTTATCATTCGTTCTTGTGTCTGTCCTCCACTCGACGAGCTTGAGCTTGTGATACTGTGGCTGCTGGTCGTAACTGTTTTCGTTACAACGGCTTCTCCCTTGGCAATCATGTAAAATCGAGAGCCGCGTGTACCCTGCGCTACAATGATCTCACCGTCCGAAAACTTGGCGGGCTTTAAAGCACGCACGACTTGTTCCTGTTGCATTTGACTTAGATTTCGAAAAAGCTGCACCTGACGCATGACCTCGTACACTGGCATGTTATCCTGTAAGAATGGCGTCAATACAACCGATTCATCATCCCCGTCGTCCTCTTCTTCCACGTCGTCAGGTGAGCTGAGCCAAGAAGCCCAACCTGTCATACTGTGTTGACTGCTGTTGCTATTGCGTCCTCCACTGCTGTGCATGGCTGAGAATGGTACATTGTTTCCAGCGTGAGACGACACAGAAGAGCATGCGCTTGCATGGCGAGTACGCTTTGGGTAATGGTATTGTGGTGATAGCACTGCGTCTTCAGGCTCGTCGAGCCAATCACTGATAAGCTCCTCTCCACTGCCTATAAGATCATTGTCCGATGAGCTCGAGCTTGAGTCGAGCGAGCGAGAATCTGAGCTCGATTGATAGGCCGATGTCGGGGATTTGGCTATATCCAGTGACGGACGGAAGCGTGAGAGCTTTGGGAGTGCGGGTGTCCGAGACATGGAGCTGCGCCTAGTAAGCGGCTGAGCATCGTGTGTCTTCCAGTCAGGCGGAGAAGAGGGGAACGAGTCAACTGAAGACACAAACGCACAACTAATAGCATCTTCATCGTCACTATTCTTATGGTGTGAGGATGATTCGTGATTGGAAGCGAGAGTGCTGTGCACCACGTCACTCAGCGGTAAAGATCCTTCGCGCTCACTCTGCTGCACGATAGAATTGTCATCAGACCGCTCGACCGAGGGAACAGATGTGACATTATCCATCGTTGAAGCATCCGAAGGCGCATTGGCAGATGGAGGAGAAGTAGGAGACGCAAGAACCGGAAGTTTGGACGGGGATGCCGCCGAGATGCTAAAGCGCTGACCCATAGCTTCCACACCACCGAGAGAAAAGAAAGCGGCGGTTCTAATCTGAGTAGAAAGATACTTTCTTAAAGAGAAAAATGAGCATATAAATTATAACTGCGATTTAATAAAGTGCTTCTTTTGTATATACTTTTCAACACTCTATACCATAAATTCTTCTGGACAGAATAAAAAAATGCATTTGTAAACCAGGCGGAGGGAAAAAACTTGTGCATTCGAATGTATGTAATTATTAGAAGCTTAGTTTGCATTGACGATTATCACACTTAACATCTTGTGAAAGATGAGAACGATAAATATGATGACTTTTCAGAGACGATACTTAATTATTGTAACTTCTAATTAATATCAAGTATGCTTGTCGATTTATGTACCACACCATTCATACTTTGAGCAAACTTGGCCGTGCATTTGCCAACTTTGGTAGCAGGTGTGTGTGTCACACCAGATGGGCATGGTGTGACCATACCCAAACAAGAATACGGTACGGGGATACCCAGTAGTTCCACATGTATTGAGATTTTACTATACATATTTGGGAAAATCTATACATTTAAAATTAGGCGGCTTTGCTGTAGATAAAAATAAATAAAGTCAGTCTTGAATTTGAACCGAAAAGTTAATTAGCCCTAGTTTAGCTTTAGATTTTGAGCATTCCAGACGTATTGCCTCGACAAATATAAGATTATAAGATTCTTGATTAAAGAGGGATGTCAAGAAAAATGAGATTCAGTTTTTCAACAATCCAACAGTTCAAAGGCATTGCACCAATTGTGATTCTGGAACCTCAGCTTACAGTGTACTATTTC